TTGAGATATCTTAAGTCTGAGGTTATTCCCTCAGGGGTAGACCATCTACAGTATGTTTAAGTTATTTCAATTCGCTGTCGATAAATAAATTGACAGTTTTGCCAGGGAAAAAAAAGAATGCTTTTGTAAAAAGTCATTGTCTCAGTTACCACATGAAGTGTCCAGCCAACCTTCAAACTACACTGAGAACACAGGGACAATTCTAGTCTGAGCAGAATCTTTGTAAACAGTTTCCATCTCAGAGACCAACAGCAGTGTTAAACTCAGCTGCCTCTGCATGTCTTCTTGCCAAATGACACTCTCAAGGTGAAAAGCGTGCTGCCATAGTTTGTACTACAACAGTGCCTGCTTTGTTAAGGACACCCCAAGGCTTTCCTCAAAATGAGTGATGTGTTTCTGCGTGGGCTTATCTAGTGCTCCTACAGAAATCCTTCACATTCTCCTTCATATGAGGAAGTACTGTATGCAAACACCTACAGACCAATAAGAGAAAGTTCTACGTTTTTGCTGCATTCCTTGTGCTTGGAGCTGAGATTACATTTAATCTTTTTATGCACACATTTTTCTCAGAAAGGATGCAGATCCTTTTTTTGTTTAATCTATATAATTTAAAATATGGCACTACAACTTTTTAACAGCAAACTCCATACAATAAGACCTTAAAGAGGAAAACATGATCAAAACTACTTTTATGGTTTGGCAAATGTAGGTATAACATGCAAATGTTACCTATATTATGAGCTGTACAGCATGTGTTGAAGTGTGAAATTAACCAGAAATTAATATAGTTTATACAGTATATCAACTGAGAATGTACATGGCTGTGGCAAACTTCATGTACCTAGGTAACCTACTGCAAACAACAGGGATTTTAACTAATATGCGATTCAAATCTCTTCTGAACGCACCAATCATTTTTTTTAAAAGTTCACAATTAAACCAAAATAAGAGGAATCACAAAATGAAACAGAAAAATACATCTCTATATTTATTTTAAAAATACATGATTTTCCCTCCTAGACATGTTTGGAAGGTCAAGTAACCTCAGTTCTCTTTGGGAAATGTGAGCTCTGTTGATCATGGAATTTTTTTCAAGGGAAAAATGAATATGAAATGTTTCGTAAGGAAAAAAAAAGTTGAATGGTACCGAGATGAAAAAAAAAAGTTTGTAACAAAAGTACAAATGTATGAAAATCTAATATTTTAATTACAGTAACTAATAGACAAAAAATGTTTCATACAATAAACTTACTATTTAATTATTTTGACCATTTTTAAACCCATTTTATTAATCAAAAAATCATTCTGAATCCATAGAAGGCATGACAAAACAAGCTTTGCATTTTTCATAGTGGTTGTCGGCAATGAGACTGAAGAGGATTTATGAATACCTTAAAGGATGCCCTCGTGGCTGCAAATTTTTTTAAACAGAACAATGGTGATCTTTATTCATTGAATCATGGCATCAGCCTCAGTACCTCTGTGTGGTATAAATACATAAATAATGTAGCTAGCTAGTTTGCAATTTATCTAAGCAGGCATGTAATAAGTCTAGATTAAAGACAAATGGATTGCACCGAAGCTGCTCTCCCTTCAGTTCAGTGCTGCCTATGAGATGGGGAGCATGCAGTAGTGGAGTCATGATGTCAACACTGTAAGGAGCTAGCAAGGAAGACTTGCGACACTGTTAAGTGTTCTACTAAATGTACTCCATGTAGTAAAGCATGACCAATAAAGAGCTGTAATGAAATAATGAATCAAGTCGTGTAGTTGCACACTTTGACAGCTGGCCTCATGGGTTGAGCTGGAAGCAGTTACTGTAGCTGGCTAGCCTTTGGCATCCCCTTGAAAAGCCTAATGAGGAAAATGTAGGTGAGATTTTCTCCTGTCATAGTCTATTTTCTGAATCTATTTAAAGGCAGAATGATTATCTGATGACCTTCATTAACACTCTGATATTGTGGCTCATTCTTTGCTGATGAACACTGTGACTTAGACTATGTTATCATCACTTAGTCCTGCCAGAACTATCGCAATTAAAGAGCCCTTAAACCACACTGTCCTTAACTTTAAATAACTTTTTTAGTTTGGTGTAAAATGAATACTAGAAAAATCCATCTGCAGTATGTGCAAACTGGAAGACAAGAGGACATAGGTTACTATTAAGATTAAGCATTTCAGATGATTTCATTTGCTATGACCATCATTTGAAAATGTGTCTGAAATTTCAATGTTTTGTCAGAAATGATTTAATGTTCTTTTAATTAAAGCGTACAATTGTGTCACAACAAACTAGTCTACCACAATGGTAATTACATTTCATGCAATATCCTACAATAATTAAGTGGACAATATTTATGTAGAGTGCCATTGCAGGTACCAATAACATTTTATTTAAGAAATCAACAAGGGCATGACATACTATTTAAAGAACATTCATCATATTTATTAAAATAAAATTCATAGGTATTGATAAGAAAAAAATAATCTGTAATCTGGAATTCTACATCTATATTTAGAACTGAAATTATAAGTGCTTTGAAATTAGAAATTGCCACTGAGCTTTATTTAATTTGAAAGTGTAAATTATGCACCATTTAAAATCATATAGTACTTTGTTTTTATTATACACCTCATATTTTCAAATACAGTAATTTGGTTTCAGTGCAGCTATTTAGTTAGTCTTTTTAAATTAAAATATGCCATCCTCATTTCAGTTCATGCAAAGCAATGCTCCAGAAATGAAATTGCTATTCTGTATTTAAATCCACAATATCAATTTATACATAATTGGGAATATTCTTATCCCAACAGTTATAAGACCACTCTCTCAGTCTATTACTTCTCTGAAAATCAACAACACTTTGATTTCTTGCTCTTGGAAGCTGGAACAATCTTCCCCACACTGATCAGTCTAAGTATACTTGTCCATACGTGCTGAATGATATACTTGTGGTACTACTGCTTATGACAGATTTATGGTCTTCCTGTATCACGAGTATGTACTCTGAAACATTATAAAGAGGACCGCAAGTACGTAATAAGCATGGGCTTCTGTGTCTATTTTGCTTTAAGCACCTAATGCCAGTGATTTATTAACAATTTTGATGAATGTCAATGCAAGATGTTAAAATTGTTTCATGCTCTTGCACACAGAGGTACTTGTTAGATGTGACAAGTGGCTTATAGTTGGACGCCACAAGCTCAGTGAAAGTTCAGCTTCTCTTGCTGAGATAGATTGCCAAATGAAGGAAAAACCTTAATTTGTGTCTGCATATTCCAGTCTAGTCCAATCAGCTATTAAATGTGACCTCCTTTCAGTTCTGATGCTCAGCATCTTCTGACAGGATCAAACTTCATTGAAGCTAATAAAATTGTCATGACTGCTTCATTTTCTGTTTTCGAATTATGCTTTCTTTATCTGATGTTGGACAGAGACATTAAATCTTCATAGCGCTATCCCCAACCTCTCCACAAAGCTCTTGACTGCACATGAACTCCTGATCAACACAAAAATACTATCAAACCTAAAATAGCCTTGCTTTCATAATTGAACATTACATTTTGATTAGCATACAAAGTATTAATTTTTTACACTTTTTTATTGGCATTTGGACATAACCTCCATTTCTGATTCCTTCATGCTTATTCCATGTTCATTGATCCAGTCCCTTCAAATTGTCAATTAACATCATGATAACACAGTGATATACATTTCAGTGCATCTGCCTTAAGTACTGCAAAATCAAACTAGGATAGATCAAATAAAAACCATGAAGCACCATGCAATTGTATAAAAACCATGCACAATTTCCAAAATGAATACGAATACTAGATTGCTAGGCTTAGTCATTTTACATAAGAATGTGTCCAAAATCCAAAATTCAAAAATAAAAAAGAATGCTTTAAATAAATGGTTTGTTTACTATTTTCTTTTCTATTACCTTACTGTATATTACAATAGCTATAATAACTTCAAATTCATAAACTAAAAACACCATAATAAATGTGTTTTTGTTTTATAAACCTCTCTGGTTATTACTGACTTTAATCTCTTCCTGCATCTCTTTTCTACCAATACTGTCACTGAATTCTTTTCAAGAATGAAAGCCTGTCTAAGGTACACATGTACCTTATTGTTGTATGGTTTCCTCTTGACTAAATATGACCTTCCTTATGACTACAACATTGGCTTTGTACCAGATTACTGCCATTCACTCACAAATATTTTTTGCTAACTTTTGTCAGTAGCTCTCAGATATGTTTTGTAAAATCAACAAACCAGACCTAATCAATCCAACTGGCAAATTTGTAACACAACAGCAGTCCCTCAATATTTGTGTTTGATTTAATATCAGTTACAAGAAACATACTGTAAATATGGTTTGGGAGAGAGAATGCAGGGTAACAGGCAATTCTATGTGACCGTATCAGAGTCCGTTTTAAATGTAACTATGAAATTTAAGTGAAATTAAGTGCAAACACTAGAATCATAATTCAAAAGGGCAATATCTCGAATGGTAAATTCTGATATATATTATATACTCTGAGCACTCAATACGTGTAAAATGTGTTAATAAAAATAATGTAATGTACTATAGCAAAACTGTTTTTTAGAAAGGAGAACAATTTACTGTACAGCACTTAGGATTTTGCAAACAGGGTATTGTTCAGTGATTAATGTTTGGATGTTCTGAAGCCTAAAAGTGTCTTAGGCAAGTCTTGACAAGTTAATCCATAAATTACTGCAATGATAACTAGAGAAGAAGATTCAAATTCAAAGTGATCCCAATACGTATCATATCAAGTAAGCCTCTTAACTGATATACCTAAGTCTGAACACTCTTGATCCATTACCCACTTAAACATCTGGAAGACTGACCTATTTTAGTTTCTGTTGCTTATATATAGGGTAGATTAATCTTGTGTTTCTTTTATAGCTTAAACAGAGACTGAAGCCAAGCAATTGACTGAGGGAACAATGTGAGCACTGTACTTACATACAATGAAAGCGAACCTGTCAATTTGGAAGCCTTTTACCGCGTGTGTTGCAGATGGTGGGTAACTGGAGGGCCTCCCTTTCCTTAGTCCACATTCCCTCCCTGCTCTGTGCGACCCATGTGCTGTCTGCCTGCAGAATAATTTAAAATGCATTATGAGACTTTGCCGTGCTACCATTTTCACAATTAATTCTGGTCAATACTTAGTGGAGAAGGGTTTTCACAACAAGATCAAGTTCAATAACATTGAAGGTCTTCAGTCCATGTTGATAGACTTCCAGGCAGTTCTATGTATACATTATATGTATAGTACTGTATAGATAATTTATTCTACAACAGTACAGTGGTGCAAGCTGCTTAAATTCACAGAGGTGGCATCAGCCAAAAACCTTCTACAGTTGTATATGAAAATCTATTAAAAATATTGTATAGTCAGCACTTTTGGCAATGAATACCAGGTTACAGTGGCAACCAATTATGTGAGTGGAGTCAATGCATGTTTACGTTTTCAAAAGAATATTAATGCACTGCCTGGTGTCTTATGCTGCTATTATAGTTCCAGCTTGCCATGACCCTCACACCAGTACATGCAGCTTCCTTATAATGGGCAAACAGATGTGAATCAAAGGACATCAGACCCTTACAGCTGTACTACCTTGCATGAAAATATAAACTACTGGTAACTGGTAATTAAACTAGTAATTCAAAAGAAGGTTATAAAGAAATATAATCTGTCATGCTATGTGGTTTGTTCACAGAAGAATAAACAATTGTAGGAAACGGTTTGTAAAAATAAAACAACTCCTTTAGAATCAGGGATTGATTTTAAGTGTAAATGCATCATATGATAAAAAAGGATAAACATAAGAAGAGCATAAGAAGAAGAAAAGCATAAAAACAATCAACATTATCCAATGAATACTGTATATACATTATTCCTCGACTAAATATGAACTGAAACCAAAAATGTGAAGCGGACAAAGAGTATACAGTATATTAAACTTAAATTTGTTTTAGTACCATAGTTGAGATAGCATACAATATATATTATTCAACAACATTCACATACCAACATTCATACTATTCATCAAACGTCTTTCCTAACATATCTAACATAACATGTATGTTATCTCAAGGTTACATTATGTTCATGCAGTCCATGAAGTATTTATGTGGGTTTAACAACTCTGTAAGTCAATTCTAGGTGACTACAGTTCGGAGTTGGGAAATTGCATCCCAACTCATTATACAATTTAGGCCAGTTATTTGTACTGTGGACGTTTTTATAATTTCATAATTTTTGTTCCAACTAAGTGAAGGGACCATGTAATTGTGTTTGGCAATTTGACATAAAAATAAGTCATACAAATCCATTCAATACATTCTGCTATTCACACTAAATCATTGTTCTTTTAACTTTTTACTTTTGCTCTTAATTGTAAACATCAAAATGTCTCTGAACATAGTAATTGTCATACCAATAATTTTCAGGAATGTTCACATATTGTTTTCAGTGCTGTTATTTTACCATGAAACTGCAAGACATATTTGAGGATAACAAATAGACTAGGTTAGAAAATCTGGGTTCTAAAAGATTGTAGACATTAGAAGATGGTGCAGCACTCAAGATTCTTTGATCAATCTTTATATTTTAACTGTTTTTTCCACAAAGGGTAATTTAAAAACTGACATTAAATTTAAATTTACATGAGTAATGTATCTGAGGCCTTTTACATTGCCCTCTAAATTTATGCATACCCATGATGAAATAGGAATAAGAAAGATCAAATGACAGAGAAATTTATAGATTGGATAATGTTTCTTGCTCATAAAAGTCTAAACACATTAAACAGTAAAACTAATAGCATTGCTATTGAGAAAAGTCAAATTTGTTCTAAATAATTTAAATCCAGAAAACACAAGAGTCACATCAATTTACACCTCTGTAGTTAATATTTGATAAATCCTCCTCTGGCAGGGATTACACTTACTAGATGCCTCTTGAAGGGTGCTATGAGGTTCTGACACATCAGAGGGAAAATGTCTGAACATGCCTCCCTATAGAATTGCCCCAAGTCCTTTAGACCCATCAGTTTCCATTAATTAACTGTCATGGTGAGATAGATTTACAAATGTTCAATTGGATTGAAGTATGCAGATTGAGATAGCCAGTCGAGAACACTTATTTGGATTTAATTTTATTGAAAGAAAAACTTAGAGGTGTGAAAAAATGTGACATTTATAATATCTTTGTAAATGAGGCATTATCCAAACTGTAACTGCTACAGTATACAAAGTCTTTTCATATTTCATTAGTGGTATGAATATGACTGGAGGGCATTGTATATTGTAAATGGTCAAACATACAGGGAATTTATGCTGCTTACTCTTAGCCTCCCTAATTACCAAAGATAACAAGAAATAGCATTAAACTAGTAACATTATAGCAACAGCCACTGCACCTAATTTCTTACCAATGGGTCTTGCTTTGATCATTCTAGCTGAATCCTGTCATATATAATTATGCCTTATTATAATGAGACACCACAATGTCCACAACAAAAACCTTAACAACAGAGTCTGCGTGCCTAAAACTTTTCAATTGAAAAATGTTCCTTCTTACTATAATAAAACTGTAGGCAGGGCAGTGTAATGAAAACTATAACTAAATAATTGGTAAATAAGAGATTGGCAGTTTCTATCTACATCAAATTGACAACATTTAAAACTTTGATTACATACCCTCTAATTTCTAACTAAAGCTGCATATTGTGGCTTCCCTGGTGCAGAAAAGACATAACTAATGGGAATTCTAGACTACATAAACAGTGTCTCCTAGCTATTATTACTGTATATCAACATGTATTTCCAGAAGGTAATCATTTCAAAGAACACAAAAGACAAGTACTGTACAAAAAAAATAGATTTTTAACCACATCATAACTAGATAATCACTGATTAAAATTAACTTCAGTGCTAAAAAGCTTTATTTTTTAATTAATAAGTTAATTCTGGGACTGTAGTACAAACTAAGGGATAACAAAGGGAAGAAATAAAACAGAAAAACAAGGCTTATGATTACAGTATATTACAGTACACTACAGGATATTACCACCCAGTGATGTCTGATGAAGCTGATGTTTTTTAATTACATCTTCACCTGTCAGTTAAATTGGGTTTTAAAGGCACTTCAAAAAAGCCATATTTTCTCTTGAAGATTTCACTTATTTTGTTTTGGCACAGCCATCAGGACAGCAATGCATTCAGAAATCTTTGAACAGCTACTTTTTTACTATATGTAATAGTATGAAGCAAAGAGTATTTTGGAGTACAACTTTCTAGTGAACAATTGGTGAAATTGAAAATTCACCCTTGATAAATTGTCCCGAATTTATTTTTTTACTTAGTTTTATCAACCAAGGCTCATCCTATATATCTTTTTTTCTTGGCTTTTTTCTGCCAAGTCAAAATCTTTAAAGATTTAATTGGCAACGTGATTGTTCCGTACAGTGTGACAGATTCTCAAAGATTGACATCTCAGCTCAAGCTCACTGTTATTTTCAGTAGCCTAATTGCATATATCTAACAGTTTGTCAAAAGTAAATATCATCTTAATAGTTATTTATCTTTGATTCCAATTCTTCAAAGCCCTCGTGATATTTTAAAAGATGATAGGAAAAAAGCTGCTGGGATGGGAGGAGCAGCTGGGTGCTCCTCCGCCACCTTGTATTGGATAAAGCAGTTAGAAAATGGATGGACAGGTAGGAGAGAAACCACATCTGCACTTTTCCTTTGCATTCCTTTGCATTCAGTAATAAAGTAGTAATCGATGGATCATACTGTACATATGTCATCCCTAAAAAAACATTTGCCCCTGTACCCTAGGCAACGTTTCCCAAACTGTGATCCCAGTGATATCTAAGACGAAGTCTGGAAATTATTTTACCCAACATTTGAAATCAGCATCAAGCCATTTTCCCAGATTGCTGAACTTTTTTTTTCTGAGGATCCACTTTCAGTATATGATCTTATTAATTAATTGCTGAAATAATTCAATGTTATAATTTTATATTGCTAGAGGAGATATCATTGTTAGTCATTATTTTGGTGTTTGCTAAGATTACTTGTGGGTGTAGTTGCATATCCATTCCACTGCTATTTTAATCTCTTTAATTTAATAATGATTGTTTGTGTTCTATATATATTATATGGTATATACTGTACATATAGTTCAGCTGCCAAAAGTGTGAGACAAAGCTAGATTGCTCATGGGCTAGGTTATTCATAAACTCATCTTCACCTAAGATTTTAAAAAAATCTCTGTATAATTAAAAAATATCTTGCTGAGAATCAGCTTGCTCAGCATTCCCTGACACAAAGAGAGGTTTTAATAATAACCCACTTTTGTCTTCAACTTGAGAGCTATGGTAGCTCTCAATAGTACCTTATGCTACTTATGAGGTACCTTTTCTCTTTCGAATTGTACAAGAATATTTGGAAAAAAATCCAAATACTAGATCTCATTAAACATAGCTATTTTTAAAAGTAATTGACATACTTTCACGTACAGTACTTTATCACCTTAATCTCCTTTTAAACATACAGTACAAGCATTGCTTTCCTTTATTAACAGTAACTTCCACTAACTAACAATGTTATGTAAGTTTTTGCCTTCTTTTAAGAGACAGCTGGACAAGATCCTTGGATCAATTATATACTAGCAACTAACCAAACCAGATGGACTGAATGACCTGCTCTCATTTGCAACCTATCTTGTGTTCTTATTTTCTACAAATAAAAATACAATGTGAAAGTCATTTGGATAATTTTTATAACCTTGCATTAATTATACTCAAAGAAAAACATAATAGCACTAAAAGTTAATTGTTGACTACAAAATCTAAATCTATAGGAATGAGAATACACCACAAATAATACCTTGTATTTTTTTACTGCTTGGCTGTTTACCAATGTTTTAGTTCCTCGGCCATTAGAGTTAATTCTCCAGCAGGAGGAAAGTAATCAGCAACCATGCATATATTAAACAATTATATATAAATATCCAAAACACAAGGGTAAGTCAGGCTCACACCTGAAGAAGGCTCCACGGCCGAAACGTTGTGTTCTCTTT